TATGAACTATTCACAAATCGGTTCATGTAGGTGTAACTTGTTTATTGTTTAGCACAAAGCTACACTATGAACTATTCACAAATCGGTTCATGTAGGTGTAACTTGTTTATTGTTAAGCACAAAGCTACACTATGAACTATTCACAAATCGGTTCATGTAGGTGTAACTTGTTTATTGTTGAGCACAAAGCTACACTATGAACTATTCACAAATCGGTTCATGTAGGTGTAACTTGTTTATTTTTAAGCACAAAGCTACACTATGAACTACTTGTGCTGTGCCCACTGTGAATATCGAAATCCAATTTTTAGCGTTGTAAATCTTCGGCGATGATACACTGTCAAGCAAAGTGTTTGTAAACCATGAATGATAAAAGCAAAACACAAATAACCAGATTCTTACATAATAGTTCAGGCAGTTGTAAAAAATGAAAAGTATTAAACTGAAGCTACTAATAAATTGATTCTGATCAACATATGTGCATCTCAGTGTCTGTATTGTTCTATGATTCATAGATACATTAAGGAAATGAGAGAGCGATTTCGAAAATATAAATAAATATAGATTAAACAACGCCCACGTGTTATATTTTTTGTTTTCCTTTATGTTGTCACTTACATTAGAAGATTCGTGATATTGTAAAATTTGAAAGGCTATTTCTTGGATGCTTTCATGTAAAAGTCCATCTGTTTACTCTAAGTTTTACGTTTTACTACTTTGTAAATTATATGTAATTATTATTCACTGCTAAGGTTTTCTTCTCTTTTTGCTAAATCTATCCTATGGATCAGCGGTAAGTTTATGGATTTACAACGTTAAAGTCCTGTAGACAGAAACCTACACTTACTCCTCTCCCTTGTGTAGGTTTGCACTAAACCAAACAAAATGTAAGTTGCTGAAAGATTGTCTTAGAAAAGTCGGAAATGCATGTAAACAGATTCCATTTTTTTACGAATTTAAACTATAAAAGGTTTACTTCTCAATCTACAAACTTCTAAAACAAAGACTTTTTTACATCTGCAGTTGAATAAATATACGTATTATTTACGTTTTCCATGGTTTTAGTTAGATTAAACACTTTTTTATTCCAAGTTATAGAATTTGCATGCTAATTTCTACATTCTAAGTTATAAAAAGTATGAGAAAAGAATATTATTATTATTATTAAAAAATAAATATATTCAATTCCTAATAGCAAGTAAGCCTTGTTTGACGTTTAGCGCAATGGGCTATAGGTGCTCGGCCCACCTCGAGTATTGAGCGTTATAAGCCCTCAAACGTACCACTGAGCCGCCGGTGGGCCGAAAGTAACTATATAGATCAGAACTAAAATTACACCGTTAAGATCCTGGGTTCGGTTCCCTGCAGACAACTTATTATGTAGTTTTGTATTAAAACAAACAAGCAAAAATAAAATTAGTCTATTAAATAATCATACCGATCTCCTATAATATATTGGTTAGAGGTATTTCATGCCATAAACCAACACAGAGAAAAAGTACAACCTATAATGATTAGAATTTATTAAATAACAATTCACCTTTAACGATATTTTTGTCTATGATGTGTATACGGTTGGTTTACAATATATTTATATTTTCAGGTTTATGTAAACAATGAGTTAAGTTTCTTCATATTTTTAACAATTAAAAAAAGAAAGTTTGATAAAGTTAATCAAAAGCTTTAAGTTGTAAGATTGTGGCGATCGGATGTTGATTGTTATCATGATTAGTAACCACCCATATATATGATCCTCTAAGTCTCATTATTAATTAGTAAATGTTTTTATAATTTGATACCGATTAATTCTACTTTTACCATAGATTTCGGTTGATAATCTGCTACCATCTTCAGAGAAGTTCTGAATAGGACTATCGTCTGTATAGGTAATAGTCGGGATTCGATCCTGGGTCTTCTTCAGTCAAATAACTAAATGTTTTAAAAGGATTATCTAGCTTTTACTGAATTATGGGCTACATAAACTGAGTTTTTGTCAGTTATTTTGATGTAGACTGCTTCTTCCCCCTTCTTTTTTCTCTCATGTGTCGTCCATATCCTATCATTTTTAGTGTTGTAAATAGTATTGCGGAGAGATCGGTATTACTGAGTTTTATACGTCTGTTACAATCCTTGCTTTTGTTAGTCAATTTGTTTCTCGACTATAATAGAATCCACATTCAGAGAGGATAACGCAGATGTATTTTTTCTTTATCTTTTGGTGGTTTGGTCTGTACTAATTACGATCGAACCGTGTTGTGGCTTCTGAACACGATCCTAACTTTATGTTGTTTGCATATTCGTCGTACCTTTTCATACAAAGAAGATAAACAACACAATATGATCACAATTAGTACACCAGACGTCCACCGGGTTTGAATTCCAGCTCCCACCAACGCAATAATAGTTCTATTCAGGACGAAAGCAGATTAACAGCCATAACGTAGTATAAAAACAATTTATAAATAAATTTCTAATTATAAAAATTGTAACTAATTATTATTTAGATTTATGTGATCGTATAGGTAATTAACCATGACAACGAATCAAAAGCATAATCAAAATTTCTTTCGGGACTCGATTTGATTGATATGTTTTGACCTTCATGTTGGTTTCATCTCAATAAATGAAATTTCTCTGAGTAAAACCCACCAGATAAAAAATGATAAAGTGTTAACCAACTCATGGTTAAACGATCTCATTATAAAGTTAATAAACTCTTCATACGTAACAAAGTAGTGAACATGTGGTATCCTCAATATCAGTAGGTTATATATTTACAGTAAAAATATTTTTAAAATAAAAACATTAATTGATTTTTACTCGAGTTTTTTTTTTAATTTACTATATAACTTACTAATTTTTAGATGTTTCAGTTTCTTAATATTCAGTTGGATGTTTTAACTAGAAAAACCTTTAATGGCAAGTTACACAATACAGCGAATAGCAAATTACAACCACTAAAGATTCATCTGGAAATGAGAAGGAAATGTATCGTAAAATATATAAAAAAAACAACACATGGAAGACACTTACCAAGTTCATCTGCTGCAAAAAGTAACACAAAAATAAAAATCAAGAGTCAATTCATATGTTTAAATACTTTAAAACTCCACTTTTAAGTACAAAAAACTGAAATTCTACGGTTGGCAACAGTATAAAAACGTTTATATACACTAGATAATTAATTATTTTCTCGTCAAGATCAAACCTTCCCTAAGAAGAGAAACGTGCACACATTTTGTGTATTTGTTTTCCAATTAAAAACTAACATTGAATATTGTCTAGTTTTACATACCGCTCTTTTCCACTCTAGTGAAGTGTACGAAAACTGAGGAGACCAAACTGATGAGTCGTCCCTGAAGGTATTGAAAGGATTACGCTTTTCTGTAAAGTTGGTAAAAAAACTGATAAATTTCAACAACTCAATAGCCATGTTTGCAGAAAGAGATCTACGTAAATCGCTAGAATATATAGGGATGACTTACTGTACTTTCTTATTAACTTTTCAAGAGAAATAAAACAGAAAGCAAACATACAAGATACGTCAGAATAAGAACAGAAATAAGCTTAGTAAGCATTCGTGCATGTATATATTTAACATAAAGTCAAATAAAACTCGTACTTTAAGAAACAAAAGGGTATATTTACTTATCTTCGGTCCACGTTTCTCACACGGAGTTAAAAAAAATTGGTAAATCCCATAACTTCAAAATGTGTACTGATGTGGAATAAGTTACAAATATTATCATTTCGTAGATCCCGGGCCGTTGAACGCGATGTATCAAACTAAAGTCCAAGGTTTAAAACTTAACTTACTACTGAGTTAGTGGAGAAGAAATAGTTGACTTTAAACTGTGTCATTACTATCTGTGGTTCTTATTACTTATGTTACATATATTTCAAATACTATTTCATTAGGATTTTGTATAATTTTCCATACAATGTTGGATAAAGCGTTCTACACAAGCTTCACAAAATGTTATTTTTTTTTGCATCAGTTAGAAAAGTCACTATTTGCGTTGCTTCAAAGAAAGCAATGATAATGAAGGTAATTTATTGGTTGAAAAACTGGAAATGTTTAACATCTCTTTCTGATCTGGACATCCGATAGGATGGGGTATTACAACATCCACGTGCTGCTATTTTTTTCTCGTAAACTTGAAAGTGTGCTGTATTTATAATCAACGGATGGAAAACTGTTGTCACGTCAAAAGTTAAAGAAGGCCTTCCGCATGTTCGTGCTTGAGCAACACCCTCTTAACTTGATGATTAGGTATCGATGAATATTAATCTTTGACGTTCTTTTAATGCATGCATATATGCTAATTTCTGTTTTTCTGTTCATTACAGGACTACGACAAGGAATCAAGCTCGAAGTGATGATTTATCACCATCGTGCACGATTCTCCCAATAAGAGCACTTTATTAGCGTGACTCGTGATACTCGTAGGCGTGATCCCTGAAAATTTACTTTCTCATCACATTTTAATAACCAATTTTTTGTTTTAAATAGTGAATTGTAAATATTATATGATTAATTCATGAAAGTATTCTAGCTTTCTTGATATTAAATCACTTGTCTAGATAGAAAATTCTTTATAAAACAGTGTTCTTATTTATGTTTCCTTTACTCTGTCTTTAGACATCAAAAATATATTTAGATTTATTTTAATGAAGTTGCAATCAAGCAGCTAATTTAACTGTCTACATCCATGTAAGTTGTTGAAAGTTGAGCCAGAGTAGTAATTGTTCTTCAATAGCAATTTAGTTTTGGCTAAGTGCATCGGACTCTGAATTTTTTAAGTTCACGAAACCAAAGAAAAATAGTTGATCTTTTGTGTTGATGTGTAAGTTCAGATACATCACAGCATATCCGTTGGAACTAAACTGACAAAATACTCCTTGCTGAAAGATATGCAGATCCACAAAAACTAATGATAAAAGTAAATAAAAATCAATAGAGTGTTGATCACTGATCAAAATGTTACAGAAACGGGACATTTTAAAGAGATATACCATTCTATGAAAGTCTGAAAGACAGACAGATCACAACCATTGTCATCTGTTCTTTGAAGTTTTGTTTATTCTTATCCATACTATTTAGTAAAATATCCCTGTAATTATAAGAAGACGGACGTTTGTTTATTTGTACATACAATATTTCATAGAATTCTAGCGGGATTCTAGTTTTAAATAAAGAAAACATAGGAAGATGATTAAGAAAGGCCACTCTGGGGAGTGGCAAGTAACCCAAATCCTTCATTCTACTACAGTGCAAGTATCTCTCATAATATATGACACACTTTAAAGCTGATTTTGAAACTTGACAGTCTAAAGGTGTGACAAGTATATTGTGAATTTAAAGAGAGATGTAAGTGAGCCTACTGTGATATATACAACAACGAAACTCACTTGCTCCTAGTATTTTCTATGATTTTTTAAAAATGCTTATAAAACAAATATACAGCAGTATTTTCATACAACGTCATATATTTGTTTATTACATTAAACTTTCGATCAAGTCAATGTTTTCGAGCATTGAATGCTACGAACGTTATTATAACAGTTAAACGTGTCAGTGATACTTTAATCTTCCAAAAAATGTTCTTCTTGTATTATACATTTATTTCTAACACAGTAAATGAATCTAACTGAAATATCCTGAACTTGGGAATCACAGAAAAATTATTATTAAAGGTCAGAAAACGACTGAAAAGTTCAAGATTGACCTTTTCTTTTTCAACAGGAGCTACTTAAAAAAAAGACCACTTTTCAAAAGTCGACTGTTTTGGACTTTATAATGTAGTATTTTTTGTTGTTCTTTATATTAACTAATAGAAGTAAACAGTCTATAATTTTAAGTCTTTACTGAAAAAAACTGAGTAAATTCGTGTATTATTTTTTCTATTTTTCGGTTCAGATGATATTGGAGATGCAGTTCAACCAGATATATGTTATGACGTGTACAGATATATATAACTTTACACGATACAGCTCTTATTATTATTAACCTTTTTATGTTCTGTAAGTACACATAATGTTTAAAGAATTGTTTTAAATTTGAGTATAGTAAGGTTTGGTTGCAAATTGTTGTGAAAATTGTCAGTAACAGTGAATAAACGTTAAAGATACACAAATGCGATGTGAACAAACTTGTATAGAAATATATCAGATGAAGATGTATTTAGATACGATAAATAACGATTGAGTTTCGCTAGAGAAGAATATCATGTGATTGATCAGCTAGAACAAACAAATAGTTTTTTTTTAAACATTAAATCGCTTTGAAAATTGACAAAAAAACAGTTTATTTCAGAAAATTAAAATATTATTTTAAAGAAGGTTTTTAATTTTTCACTGTTTTTACATTGTTGAGTATTAATTAAAAAGTTAGAGAAAAACGACCTTTAAACTCTAACTTTTTAATCAAAATGTGTAAATCCCTTCAGTGTTTACTACACATTTTGAAAGACAATAAAAATTTTCCAGCAATTGTTGATTATTATTAGAAACTTTAATAGTTTTAAACCTCTTGGTTTACTTAAACCTTAAGTATATTTATTTAATTAACATAACATGAACTAATGTTTAGGGATAAGAAGGGACCTGTTGCTCCATTTCGGCTGTCCCATTCTCTAAACTAACTATTATAAATTAAAAAATAAAGTCTTACGACCAGCCATTATCATTCATGCAGTTATCAAGCTTTCACTTAAATTTACTGCCTCCACAACATCAGAAGGAAAGCCATTCCAGAGGCCAACCACCCTTTTAGAAAAATAAAGCTGTCTTAGCTAAGATGACTCCTACCTTGTCAATATTTATATCTGTGTTCCTAGTCCTACTATTCTCGCAATTAAGTATGAAAAAGATGATGCACCAACACCATTAATTCCCTTTACAATCTTAAACATTTCAATCAGATCCCCTCTAATTCTTCTTTGTTTTTCAAAATAAAACAGTTTCAAATATCTTTATCTTTCCTCATATGACAAACTCTCCATCACAGGCATCATTCTAGTAACCCTTCCCTGAACCCTTTCCAACAATTCAATGTCCTTTCTAAGGTAAGGAGCCCAAGATTCCAAATGTGGCCTAACCAGAGACATATACAATGAAATTATAACTTAATTGGACTTGTATTCAGTATTTCTGCAGATACAACCTAAAATCCTATTTGCCTTATCACTAGCAACAGTACACTGCTTGGATGGTTTGAGAGACTAATCAACCATTTCACCAATATCCCCTTTTTTAAGACACTGTTAAGGTTATTCTCATCCAAATTATACCTATAATTGAAATTATAATAACCCACATGAATTATCTTGCATTTATTATAACTAAATCCCATTTACCATTTATTTGCCCAACTTACTAAATGATCTAAATCCTTTTGTAAAGCAGCAGCATTGTCTTCACAGTTAAAAACACACAATTCCTTAATATCATCAGCAAATTTTAAGTCATTTATTGATCATTTCTTCATCTATGTCATTGGTGTAAATAAAAAGGAGCAAAGGTCCTAAGACTGAGCCCTGAGGTATCACACTTGTGACATTAATCAGTTTGACTCAACTCCATTTATGACAACCCTCTGCTTTTTTCCATCCAGCCACTCTTCTATTCAATTTGCTAACTTATCTCCCACACCAATAGAGATAATTGTTTTATAAGCTTTTTATGTGGCACCTTATCAAAGGCTTTCTGAAAATCCAGATACACCGAATATACATCCTCACCCTCATCTAAATTAGCAATAACCTTTCCAGAGAATGTCAAAAGATTTGTAAGGCAAGATTATCCCTTAGTAAAACCATGTTGACTATTCAACTGATATTAGATTAATAGGTCTATAGTTACTGGGATGATTTTATTACCTCCCTTGAAAAGAGGAGTAACATTAGTTAACTTTACATCCTTTGGCATCTGCCCACTATCTAAGGACTTATCAAAAATAGTAGCAAATGGATCACGTATCCAATTCTTAACCTCCTTCAAAACTCTTAAGGAAATATTATCTGTCCCAGGAGTCTTATAGTTTTTTAAACTTTCCAATTTTTTCTTAACAAGCTCAGAATTAATGCAATCACATTGTCCGCCCTTATTTCCATCTATCAACTGTTCAAGATGAGGAATACTGTTTAAATATTCATTAGTAAAAATTGAAGAAAAAGAAGAATTTAATAATCCAACCATCTTATAATCATCAAATACAAACCTTCCTTTATCTTCCCTCAAGGGTCCTACCCCATTCTAACATTTTGTTTACAATTAATGTACTTAAAGAAATACTTACTGTTATTTTTTACATTTTCAGCCAACCTTTTTTCATACATCCGTTTTGATCTCCTAATTTCCTGTTTCACCAACTTTTTTATCTT